TGTAAAAACAAAGGAGGGGGCAACAATGCTTTATAAGAAATGTACTCATTGCCTTGCTCATGTAATTGTAACCCCTCTTACAATAAAAAACTTACTAAAAAAAAAAAAAGAAAGAGAGTGTGTAAGATGAAACAAATGGAGGGGGAAGGGTAATTTACAAAGTCATCGTGTTTGAAAAGTATTAAAATTCTAGGCATTTTTATATTGCAAAGCAATTTCTAGAATTTCCTTAAGACCAAAGTAGGTATTTCTTCTTCACTTGCTTTTGCTAGGCTTTGAGATCTAAAAACTTCATCTATTAGTTTTCCAAGGTTACCTTGAAGTTGAACTGACATTTACAACACAACTCATGATAAACCTAATGATAAAATCCATTTGTTGGCTTTAAAAATAGTAAGACTGTACTGAGTATAGGGAACATTCTTTTTTTGAATACTTTACCTAAAACTTTATAAAATTGTTATCTATCTATCTATCTATATCTATCTATCTATCTATCTATCTATCTATCTATCTATCTATCTATCTATCTATCTATCTATCTATCTATGTCTTTGAATTGCTAATAAAATAATACATTTAAAAAGAGGTTGTAAAATTTTCTTAATCCTACAACTATGTTGTATATAATATTAAATAAAAATGATGGTAAAGAGACATAGTTTCTTGGTTCAGTTAAGGACAGAAGAAATCTATTTTTTGTTTTGAGTCCACAAAAGGTCAAAATAAATAGTAACTTGACCTTTGCTTTCCAGGAGAAAAGCAGTTTGAACATACATCTCATTTGCCTGTGATCTTTTCCTAAAAGAGGCTCTATTAAGAATTGAATTCCATATCCCTTCATCTTTTCTTGAAAACAGTGTCTGCCTTCCTAGAAATCTGTTATCTAATCATTGGCCTGACAGGTTTCTGCAGAATTCTGTAAAAGGTGTAATACCTTTTCCTCTAGGCTTCTTTTTGCTGGGTAAAGGTGAGTATTTCTTGAAATATGGAGAGCTGATTAGGTTTTAGGCTGACAGTTAAATGTTCTAAAGCAAATCTAATTTACTTTTTCACTTTACTTGGCTTTTCTATTACTTTAAATGGCTCTACCATCATCTTTAGGAAAATTGAATCCAGCTTACATATTTTCCTTTCCCATCTGTCACCAGGCTTTGCTCTTGAGTTCACTTGTTTTCTCCTCACTGGCTTTATCCCAGCCTGGGGCTGCTTTAATACTATGAGTACACTAAGCATTTTCTTTTTCTTTTCAAAAACTGATGTCCCCTTCCCCTAGTGCATTACTCATTACATAACTAAGAGTAAGGTTCAAACCTCATCTGTATAAGACTTATTAGGGTTGTTGGAGGAATTAAATCAGCTAACACATGGAAAACATTAACACACAGTGTCAGCACAGAGAAATACTATTTTTGGTCTATAAAAATCTAGCAAACCTCGAAAACCACATAGAGAAAAATCACCCAAACTCTTGCTACTCTGAGATTAGTACTGATGCACATTAATATAATATAACCAAATTTTCTTTAAGTTATGTAGTATACATAAACTACTTTGTGATCTGTTCTATTGTTGTTTTGATTTTTTTTTTTTTGGTGGTGAGGGGGCCATTACTGGTTTTGAAGCCCTACCTCTTGATCCACACCTAAAATGTAGCAATTTAGCATTCTTCCGTAACATGATGTGTAATAGCTGTGTTGTATTCTATTGTATGGATAAGTTGTAATTTAATCTACCAATTTATAGACAGATTTTCATTGCCATAAGCAATATCTTGGTAAGCATGTTTGCTTTGTGCTTACCTTTAAATCTCCTTCAGACAGATCCATAGAATGATAATTACTGGGTAAAATATGTAAGCTATTTTTAAAGTTCTTATTTGATACTGATTCATTTTTCTTTGGCAAAAGATTATGGGATTTGTTGTCCAGCCACAATGTGAAAAGCCAGTCTTCCTTTCCTTAAGATTTCCTACTTTTCTGTTTCAATTTAATTCCGTTTTTAGTGCCTCTTAAATTCAGCTTTATGTCTTCTCATTCTTCTCTATGAACTCCTACTTACTATTTCGATTGCTTTTCTGTCCTCCAGTAGATGCCTCTTCTCTCAGAATTGGTCTTTAAACTCCACCAGACTGATTTCCTGAGTATTTCTCAATGTCCTCTCTCCTATCTTCATTCCTTTCCCTAGAGGCTGCTCAACATATAACATGGCTCCTGTATTGAAAAAGCATATTAAGATATCTCAAGATTCTTGCCTGTTTTTATTGCTTTATAAAATGTATCTTTTCCCCAGTGTTTCATGGGTGTTTTGTTTGCACATCAAGATCACAGGTTCCTTTATGGTAGAAACTTGTTCTCCCAACAGTGTCAAGTTTAATATGCTTCACTTGGTAGACAGTTCATAAATTAGAGCTGGGCTGGCTGGCAAGATTTCTGTTTAAGATGAATTGTTAAACATTTAGCATCTCTTAAACACACTTTTACATGCCCTGTATCTTTATCAATTCTCCTTCCCTCCCTCCCTTCCTCCCTCCCTCTCTCCTCCCTCCTCCCCCTCTCTTTCTTCTTTCTTTTTGTGCTGGTCCTGGGGCTTGAACTCAGCTCCTGGGCATTGTCTTGACTATTCCAGTTATGTTTTTGAATGAAAGCTCATGCTTGAACTTCAGGTAGCACTGCTATTTGAGCATATTTAGAGCATTCCCTCAGTCAGTACAGCGGTATTTATAAATACCTTAACAGACTAATACTTTACCTCAAGTTGTTCTCTTTTGTCTCCCTTAAGATTCTTCCCAGCAGCAAGAACTCTATATGGGGAAGTTACACTGCTCTGGAAACGAAATGCCAAAATATAGGTCCACCAGTAGTCAAATATAGAGAAATTGTATCAAGATCAGTATCATGATTATATCTCAAATAATACCATCAGTAGACTCAACTGGGAGGAAATAGGTCATGAGCTTTCAATAATATAAAATACATCAGTATTTATAAAATGTGATGAAAGATGGAACTGCTTTCCTGTACCACACAGGTATCTCAAGGAAGAAAATTGTTAAAGACAGACGTAACACTGAATTGCAAAGTAGTGTGGGTTTAAGAACAGTTCTTCAGCAATGTCAGAAGATTGCTTTCCAGTGTGAGGAGAAAATTGTTATTAAACTCTAGAATTAAATATGTTATGCTAATGTACTGAGTCCATTTACATTTTATGGAATAATTTTATTTGTTCTGCACTAGCTGGCTGGCAAAGAAATTGAGCAATATTTGGTGATATTTTAATGTTGTAATTTCATCAGCATCTGACTTATTGAATCTGAATATAAATCTGGGAATAGAAAATGTTGAGTGCTATCTTTAGCTACTCCAAGGACTGAGATACCAACTTTCTCCTACCACTTCTCCATGTACTTTTCTAAGAAGTTACTTGTCACTTGTTCTGGCAAGTTTCTTGCATCTTAAATTGAGCTAACATTTACAAGGAAAGCTATGAAGGTTAAAGATTTATATTTTAGAAGTAATTTTTTTTAAATTACAGTAATCAGAACAGGAAAACAATATTGAAGTATAGAAAGTAAAACCTATCTTCACAACTGAAGTATATCTCCCCATATCTCTTCCATATGTGATGATACACAGCACATCCTATCATGTGTGTACGTTAGCTAAAACGATATGCCATCCCTGGTACTTTGTACTTTGTTTTATAATTAATAGTTTATCATGATGCCCTGATTAACACATATACTCCTACCCCATAATTTCCAAAGGTTATAGAACATACTGTTCTATCAGTGAAAAAACACAACCTTTTTTCATGTGCACGAAATATGTAGATATATATGTATGTTACATTTGTCTGAATGAGCCTCTGTCTCTTTGTCTATGTCTCTTTCTCTGTCTCTTTCTGTGTTTGGTGCCAGTACAGGACTTGAACTCATAGCCTTTTATTCTTGCTTGGCTTTTTTGCTAAAGGCCAATACTCTATCTCTTGAGATATACCTCCAGTTCCAGCTTTTTTTTCTGATTAATTGGAGATAAGAGAATCTTGGGCTGGTTTTGAACCTTGAGCCTTAGCTCTCAGCTTCCTAAGTAACTAGGACTACAAGTGTGAATCAGCAGCACCTGGTTATGTATGTATATATTTTTAATTGTTTTGTAAAGGTGATGTGCAGAGGGCTTACAGTTACATCAGTCAGGTAGTGTATATTTTAGCTCATATACTTTTCATTTTTATTTTTAGACAAATACCACTGATAAATAACATTGAATTTTTTTTATCTTGAACAATATCAAATGTGTGTATATGTATGTGTGTGGATAAATGTCTTCCAGTGTCCAAGGGGAGCATTGTACCTACTTGTCAATAACCTAGAAATGGCTAGTTGAGTTGAGAGTATATTGTGCAAGTAGCAACAAACAAACAAGTGAACCAAAAAAGTTACCAAAAACAAATTAAGAAAATACACACATCAATATAAAGGTTAAGGCATTCTGTGGTAACTGTTGAGTTTTTCAGATTACAGCCATCTGTGCCTTAGATCTCTTTGTTTTTTTCTTCATCCCACTGTTGCACTGTGAGTCCCAGCGGGTGGTTTTCCTTCCAGTTTGCAGGAGTTGCTGGAATGAGCATTAGTGAATGGGGAACTGCCAGGTACAGTAGGGAGGTGGCTGCTGAGGTAGATAGTCTTCTGTGAGTCAGATTTGTACCAGCAAAATTATCCTGGGGCCTGTGGACTTTACTGAAATAGTTCAAAGGGCGGAGTACTACCTCTGAGACCATCAAATCCAGTTCATCATCTTTTATACCTTTAAGCCTGGTAGAGAACTTGTAGAGGTCTGGGTGAATTTGTCTGCTGGGACACCTTCCCTAGGTGCAGTGAGTCAGGATCAAAGTGACAAGGATGTGCATGTCTTGGTTCAATGTGCTTTGAGTTCTTGATACAGCATGTGATGATTAAAATGCAAAGTACTTACGGGATTCTCTGTTTTCTTTACAGACGGCAGCTGAATATGTGAAATCTCGACTCCCAGAAGCCCTCAAACAGCATCTTCAGGACTATGAGAAGGACAAGGAAAACAGTGTGTTGTCTTATCAGACCATTCTTGAACAGCAGATTCTATCAATTGACCGGGAAATGCTAGAAAAACTGACTGTATCCTATGACGAAGCAGGTATGTTTTTTTAAGCTACACAGACACGTGTAATTTTTTCTCCTCCGCAGAATTTCTGTGTAGACCTTGGTTAAATGTAGACTTTTGTCTGAGGTAGATGGTTAAGGGCAAACCAGATTCAAATAATAAGTTTCTTCTCTGTAGTTTGACTGCCATAAGTTTTTTTCAGGAGATTCTAGAAATGGCTCTTCAATATCAAATCCCTTTAAATTTTTGCTCTTTCTTAAATGGAATGGTCCTGGTCATTTATCAACTGTGTCCCTCTATTGATCTGCTTTTTTTGGGGGGAGGGGGGAGGGAGTCCGGTCATGTGGCCTGAACTCTGGGCCTGGGCGCTGTCCCTCAGCTCTTCAGCTCAAGGCTAGCACTCTACCACTTGAGCCACAGCACCACTTCCGCCTTTTTAGTTTTTGCTTATGTGGTGCTGAGGAATCAAACACTCTACCACTGAGCCACCTTCCCAGCCCTTGATCTGCTCTTTTAAGGTATCACTTTGGTTTTGGATATCCACTGAAAACTTTTATGTCTGAAAACCCAAGTACTATTAATTGAATCAAATATATTTTTTAAATGTATTACACATTTTCTGTGCTAAGGAGAGACTATTTTTTCCCTTGTAGTTTGAAGATGAATTTGGCTTTTTCTTTACACATCAAATGAAACCTACTCCCTAAATAGTACATCTAAGATTCTGGCTTCTTATTCATGAAGTTGTAGACATACCTTCATGTGATGTCATCTTTATATTAGGTTGTGGGCTAAGGTCCAATTTTAATGAAACTATTGTACTATTAGAATTATTAAAATATTAAATTGAATTTGCAAAGCAGAATATCCCAAGTAAATTTTCTCTACTTTCCCTCACCAAAGAAACAGCAGAGTAAAATATATAGGAAAATGAATTTTTGATGGTCAAATGTTGATTTTTTTTTCCATTGTTAACATTGAATTTTTTTCCAGCTTCACAGGTTTTACAAAGGGTTTACAATCGAACATGCCCACTTAACTTGTCCAGTGCTTCTTGATGACCATGCCTTCCATCAGTGTCCCTCAGGCTCCCTGCCCCTTTTCACAACCTCACTTTACATTTCCTACTTCCTTTATCACATGTGTACATTGAGTATTCTGACTGTATTGGTTCATTTTTTTTTTTTTTTCATTCATCTCCCCTACTATCTTCCCCCCCATGCAAAGTTGTTTCGGCTTCCTGATAATCATTTTATTAAACTTCCAGTTGTTCAAAAGGTTTACTCCATGGAGTTTAACTTCTGCATATACAATGTATTAGTTAGCTTGCTTATGTATACAAGCATCTACCTGTACGTGTGTTTACATGGGAGGTTGTGTTTTGGGTCTCATATCTACATATGAGAGAAAACGTGTCCCCCCCCCCCCCCCCCGGCTTTCTGGGTCTGGCTCCCCTCAGTATGATGCTTTCCAGATCTTTCCATTACTCTACAAATGACTGTGTAAAGTTCCAGGGTGTGTGTGTGTGTGTGTGTGTGTGTGTGTGTGTGTGTGTGTGTGTGTGTGTGTGTGTGTTCTTTCTTCTGTTATAGATCATGTGGGCTGCTTCCTTACGTTGGCTGTTGTAAATTTGCTGCAATGAGTATAGATGTACAGGTTGTTTCATTGGATCTTGTCATGGAGTATTTCAGATAAATGCTCAAAAGTGCTATCACTGGATCACCAGTAGCTCTATGTTCAGTTTTTTTGAGGAATCTCCATACTGATTTCCAAAGTGGTTACACTAATTTACATTCCCACCAGAAGGCCAATATTTTAAACATCAGGAACTTACACTTTTATTTTCACAAGAATTTTTTTGTATGTGTGTGTTGTTAGTCTTGCCACTTGTACTCAGGGTCTGGGCACTGTCCCTGAGTTTTTTTCTCAAGGCAAGTGATCTGACACTTGAACAATAGTTCCTCTTCCAGCTTTTTGATGGTTAACATGAGCTTTTTTCTTCTTCTTCTTTTTTGCCTGATCTGGCTTCAAATGTGATCCTCAGATCTCAGCCTCCTAAGTAGCTAGGATTACAGGCATGAGCTATGGGCATCCAGCCTCACAAGGATATTTTTACAGTGCCTCTTACTTTTTTCAACATAATGTAAAGCAGTCTCAGTGCTGAGATTCTTAACATCTGATTTGAAACTTTAATAGCACACAGAGTACATTTTTTTTTTTTTTTTGTTGGTCATGAGGCCTGAACTCTGCACCTGCGCATTGTCCCTCAGCTCTTCAGCTTAAGGCTAGCACTCTATCACGTAAGCCACAGCACCACTTCTGGGTTTTTCTGCTTATGTGGTGCTGAGGAATTGAACCCAGGGCCTCATGCATGCAAGGCAACCATTCTACCATTGAGCCACCTTCCCAGCCTGAGTGCACATTTTTTAAAACCCTATACTAACATTATGCTCCATTTGCCTAACCATGAATTCAATATTTCAATGATATGAGTCCCCATTATATTCTACCCTGTGACTCCTTCATAGCTCTCTCAAGGAGCCTCACTTCTCAACTTACCCAAGACATCTCTCTTTCCATTTTGTTAGTTTTCTAGATGTACTAGTTTTCTTCTGCCTGTTAGATGGTGTTCTCTCCCTGTCTGTCTCTGTCTCTGTCTCCTTCTCTCTCTTTCTCCCTTTCTATCTGTCTGTCTGTCTCTGTCTGTCTCTGTCTCTTTCTCCTCTCATCTTCCCCCATAGCCCAGGTAGTATTAAACCCAGAGCATTACATCTCTTACCCTTAATGGAAAACAGAATGGTGTTTAGCCTCAGTCAAGATAATATTTAAATACTCATAGTCCTTTATTATTGTGGAGTTTATGTTCCACCCACTCTTTGCCCCCATACCCACTTCCTGGGGAAAAATTTCCAAGATCCATAGACTTGCCTGAAATAACAGTTACTTTGTTGTAGGGTTGAGACTAGTCTCTAATTGTTGATCAAGCTGTGTATTCATCACAACGAGGCAGTTTCGTGTTTGCTTAGTGTGCATTAATCAAGTATAGTGCATTAGTTAAGTGCATCAGCCATATACTAGGTGGTTCAAAGGAAGGAAGGAAGGAAGGAGGGAGAGAGGGAGGGAGGAAACAGAAAGATGGGTTGCAACTTGATATGTAGAAAACATGGATCTTGCTTAACATCTTGTTGGAGAGCTGAAACATATGACTTCTCTTTAAACTCCCTAGGAATTGGAGGCATGTGTACCCTGCATTAGTCACAAGGTATTAGAGTTAAATGAAGGTGGGCGGTCCAGAATTAGAAAAAGTGGCTCAAGGTTTGCGTGGACTTTTTTAGGTTGAGGACATTAATTTAACTGACGGATGAACACTAAAGTGGATTTGCAAAGAGACGAGGTTAGTGTTCTAGTCGGTGGAGTAGCACAAATAGACACCAAAATGGAGATGAACAGCAGCCATAATTTCCCATCATGGAAATTCTTCTACAGGATTAATTCTCTGCCTTCCTATGTTGTTGTTGAGTAACTACTAATCTTCAGAATTACACTTGTACTTGTGGAAATACTTTGGCACAGAATTAATGTCTCAATAAATCTGGGAAAGACTTAAGTTCCAGGCCTCCCCTCTAGCTTAATAGTGATGTGATCTTTAGCTCATCAATCTCTCAGAACCTTCTTCTTCGTATTAACTTTGATATGCTTCACAGAGCTGTTATAATAACAGAATAGATCATGTTTGGGCCTTAGAAATCATATTGCAAATGCTAGTTAATGCCACCAAAGCTGGGTAAGAACAGACTTGGATCTCATTTCTCCCTCAATCACTTTAAGGCTTCTTAGGGTCCTTTCCTTGCATGTTGTGTTTGAGAAACAGAGAGACATTTTTTAAGGTGTTCCTCAGAAGCCTTGGGATATGAAGCATCAGCCATTTGTTAAGTCGCCCACTCTGAGCTCCATTCGCCTTTGGTCATTTTGCGTGAGCTAATACAGGATGACAGATTTGATGGAGGCTGTGTGTACACATGGATGAGCGAGTGGCACTGCGGTCACTGTCTCCTCTATACCTAACTATTAATGATGAAATCACAATGAGAGGAGAAAAGAAAAAATGTGGCTATTTAATAGGAAACTATTTTATCATGGTACTAAGGAACCAGGGCAGAATATCCAGTACCGTGAGATTTAACATCCTATAGTAAGAGCTTTATTTGCCTACAGTGTTCAGGCTCTTTCTAAGCTATCCTGGTCTTTACTTTCTCAGTTTTAGGAAGGAATTAATTGTTAGAAAATATCTTGGTCTCTAGAGAGGTTAATTTGTATTTTGTGTTCATTCACTGATAAATCAGCCTGTGTGACTTAATGAAAGTTATTACCATCTGTGGCTTCTAAACTCCTAAACCCTAATTAATGAAAAAGCCCTTAGACAGTTGTCTAAAACCTCCCTATTTGCCCTCTCTCTGTTCCTTCTTCTCCTTTAAATATACACAACCTTTAATACTTTACTCTTCTATAGTTCAACCATCCAGTAACCTAAAAATCCAGCAAAAGAACATGGGCAGTCAGAGTCATGTGTGCATTCAGACTACATCACAGAATTTGTGGACAAGTCCCTGAAACATTCTCATCTAGATTCTGTACATTTTTACCTTATGTAGTTCTCACTAGTTCAATTGTATTTTCCAATATGATATTTTGTTTTATTCATGCATTCATTCGGACATTTTTATTAACATCAGTTAGTTGTACAAGGGAGTTTCATTTTAGCATGTCCATTTGTGTATATAGTGTACACCTGATCACTCACATCTTCCATCATTCTCCCTCTTCCCCGTCTTCCATCCCAAACTAGTTTCCATAGCTTATTTTCACACATATAAACATAAATTATTATGGCTATATTTGCCATCCTTCCCCCTCTCCATTCATCTATTCTGTCCAAGTGTTTAAATTTTATAATCTTCTTTTTGTTGAACTGCATGTTAATTGTTCAAAGAGGTTTTATTTACCATGGTGTATCTCACAGCTCCATGTACTAG